CTGGCCATGCTCCCTCCCAGCTTCTGGTGCTCCTGCTCACTGGCAGAACACGGGAAACTGAGAAATCCGTAACTTAGGATAAGTGCTACTTAGCAACAACTAAAACATCAGTGTGTTATCAACATTATTCTCACACTAAACGCAGAACACAGCACTGTACCAGCTACAAGGAAGAACATTAACTCTGTCTCAGCCGAAACCAGGACAAGGCATGATCTTTGTAAACAGAATGATCTGAAATTTGCCAAGCTATAAACCAGACAGTGTCATCACAGCTATTTAAACCTACACCTTTGAACTCTTAAGTAGCTTTCCATTCTCACTACAAAGAATTACGGGTGATTTCAAGAATCTGGAAGACTGAAACACACTATTATTTCCCTATCAGTGATTTTCTGTATGTGCCACACATCTTTAATTAGATTAATAGATTTAATTAATAAAAATAAGCCATCCTGATTCAGAGCATATATTTTGCTATTAATAGACAAAACAGCAATTTAAGCTACATGTATGGGAGGCAGAGCCTTTTGCCTTGAAGTAAGCAGTCTGCAAGAGTAATGAAGACATACAAAGAAAGGGTAACAATATGAGTCTTGCCTCCTGTCACATATGTCACACACATTTAGCCTTTTCCACTCTTCACAGTGTCATAACTGTAAACTGGTTTTTGGGAATATGCCTACACAATCCAGCCAATATTAATTTTCTGGTATCTAAGTGGCAAATTGTAACCTCTGTACCGGTGACTAGCCATCAACATCAGCCCAGTGGGGCAAACTTCAAGGAAAACGTACATCTCTGTGTAACAGTTCTGTTCTTAAATGGGCTTATTCTAGTTCACATTTTATCTCATTTTACAACTCTGCAGAGCAGGAGCCACATCTCACATTACTGGAATGCTTCACAAAGGATATCCTGGGTCTTCGGCTGCAGTTACCATTCCTGTTATTTAGTGCCGAGTGTTTCCGTGTGTGCCAGCGCACGCTGATGAGTGAGGAAAACAGTACAGCCCAGAATAAGATATCTCTTTCCTTTTCAGAGAGGCATGAGAGGGATGCAGCTCTCAGCAGAAGTCTTCTTCACCAGACACTTTAGAGCTTTGCTGGCTCTTGTATGTTAACATCTCCCACTTTCCCGACCTTTTAAGTGTGTGGATTGGGTGCCATTCACAGAGACCAATTACCATTTCAAGAGCAACATTTTGGCACCAGGACTGTTTATATAGAAAAGAGACTAAAGCTAAAATCCAGCTACCATTATAACTTCAAAACCCAGCAGGGCTCTAGACATGTGTTTTACTTGCTTATTAGTGCTATAATAAAAAATACAGGGTGTTCAACCAAAATATCCATGTTTATTTTAACATGGATTCATTGTATAATCAACAGGTTTTAAGCTAACATCAAATGTCTCTTAAGATGTACGGCATTGCTTTTAGAACCCAGGCTCTCTTCTTTCAAGAAATACAATCAGTCCACATAAAAATAAACGCCAAGGTTTCAATTACAATTTCTGCAATACTGATTCTTTTAAATATGGTGTTCAGTAGCATATATTACTTTCCAAGTGGAATACTTATGCAGAAGGCTTTGCCCCAGGATTGCAAAGGTACTACATGATATTTACCTGTGAAGCATTCATGTGTAAAAATCTATCATCCTGAACACACCTGTACAAGCAGTTAACGTACCTGATGAGAACATACCTGGTGTAAAAGCTGTAAACTTAATCCATTGCCTGTTCAGTAAACACATTCTACACAGCGTTGATGAGGTGTCCTTTTTTACTCCCCCTGCCACTGACTTAAGTTTTAAAGGTCCTGCCAAAACACTTACTATCGGTTTTTAATCATCATTAAGACAGAAACTAAGATTTTCTGGTAACTAAGGAGCACAACCATTACAACCAAGGATTCAATATACACTGGAAACTTTATTCTTACAATTCACTGGTACAGATATTTACTGTATAAAAGGTAACAAAAATAACAAGGAAAAATAGTCTATGTCTGAAATTACAGTTTTACCAGAAAGCATGAAAAATAACTTCTAAATCACTGTGTCCACAGTTTTTGCAGTGTTTTAGTTACCACCAAGCTCATTAAATAGGAGGAAACACAGGCAAATGTCTGCTAAGTGACTTGTCTGAAGCCACGGCGAATCGGCGGCTGAAGTAAGAACAGAGTCGTGCTCTCCTGCTTCCCACTCCCTGCGTCCTGCTCACTGCTTCAGCAAAAAACAGGCTCCCGCCACAGATCCTCCCTGAGCGTCACTGACAGCGGTTCAAGAGCCCAAGGGAGAGGAGAGATGCCCCACAGGTGGATAACGAAGGTTTAGGAAGGGCTCTCATTTGGGTGTGTAACACACCCTACCAAGCAGGATGTTACGTACCTGATGTAACAAGAACCGACCCTTAAGCTCCCCCAGGGTCTCACAGAGGCTGTAGTCTGGAACACAAACACCCTCGTTTCTGCCCTGTAGAGCATCAATGGTGGCTGAACCACATACCCCATGACCCAGTCCCCTATCTCCTCTGGCAGCAAGAATAGATCGTTACAATTCATTGCTTCTGTAATATCTGCTACAGCACTATTTGAAAAGGTATATTGATAATGAGTAACTGGCTGAGGCTGCCCTTTGAGCTCAAATACTAAAAAACTCCATTTGAAAAAATTCATAATTGTTTACTTTCTTACTCTACCACTAAGTATTTTACAGACAATAGTTTAGTTACTGCTGTGTTACTACCATATGGCTCCTATAAATTCACACTTATAAATACAAGAATTTATTTGTAATAAAAAAAATTTCTGAGTATTCTGTAAATTAAAATTCTGGGTTAAATGAACAACCTACCTTTAATAATTCTTTGTGCATCTCTAAGTAAAATTAAATCACACTGCAGCAAAACATTTAAAGTGAGCAAATTCTGACAGTGATTTTGCAAGAGATTTTATTCTGAAATAAACCAAGCCACCACTGTTTGGAGAAAAAAAAAAATCTCTCTCAGTGGAAACCTACAGAGGAAAAAACCGTAACCACCAATTTTCAGAAGTGAGGGAAAATTGAAACTGTTACAATTATTTAAGGGAGGACATTTTGTCAGCTTCCACGGAACATGGTGCAGAGAACCTCATGCTGTGCGGTTTGATGTTTTGCTACAGATTCAGTGTAGCAAAGTAGGTCTGGAAACACAGCAAGGCCAGGTAGAAAATAAAAAATAAACGTCAAGCTGCAATGTCTCTTCAGGAATGAGTTCATGTTTCCACATATAGACTGAATTTGTAGATAAAACAAGTCACTAAACTTACCCTCAGTGAAACCCATTACTCCTGTCTGGATTCCTGCCTCCTACACGTGATCTGCAGATCGTGCTGTGTCAGATACCCGATGGTAACACACAAACAGCTGCTTAAAACCCTCTCGTGCATAAACATAAGCAACCAAGGAGAGAACAAAATGGAGAAAAGCATGAACAAACCTTCAAAGTTCAGCTTAATTTTTATTTGGCAGTAAATAAAAATCACTGTGGCATTATTCTACAAGATGATCGGCCAGAGCGTAATTTTTGGTTAGGTGGCCATTGGATTACAAGCGAAATCAAAAACTGTCACTGTACGTTTTCAATACACAGACAATCCAGAGCCATTAGTTTGTTACTATTTCTGTCTGCATTGCAGGCAAGGCTGCAGTTACAGAATCAGATTAGAGAATTCCCCATGACATACATTCATTTGGAAATGAGATTTCACGTAAGTGGAAGGTAACTACAAGTTGGAGATCACAGCAGCATCGGTGTTCGTTCCTTTCTGCAGTAGAAACCATATTACCATCTTAAATTAGTATATCAGAAGTTCATGTAACAAGCAGAATGTCACCTTAACTAAAGGGTAAAAAGATTTTGCAAGTTCGCAACAATTAAAACATTTTTTTCCCCCCTCTGTTTCCCTAAGGCGCTTTTTAAACAAGTAAAAATAAATTTATGGGAAACGTTTAGTATGCTGCGTCTGAAAAATAATTTATTTGCATATCAAAAAAATCTACCAATTTTCCCTTCTGCAACACTGCAGATATAAAAAAAAAATAAAATCTAACTATTATTCTTAGTAGTATTTCATATTGTTATAAAAATTTGGCATACTTCATTCCAGCCAGTAAGTACAACATGAACAATATAGGAAAAGTAATGAAGATTTTGAAGTCAGTATTTTATTTTGGCACGCTTTGTAAGTATTAAATAAGCTATCATCTTTCTGTGCTACTACTTCATGTTTAAAGATCAAATGGTATTTTTGGACAGCAGTTACGTTCCAACTTTTGACTACTATAGCAAATGCTAATACGTATTTCAAAAAGGCTTTGTATCAGGTATTTCAAGGTGTCTAACACACATTTTGAAATGTACATGCATTTTGAAATGCAAATTTTCACTACTCATTGAGGTAAACAGGAAAAAAGATGCACCGAAAATGACCGAGAGGGATCTCAGACAAAGGGACAATCCTGAATTCTCTCTTCAGGCGAAAACATCAAAACACAAAGAGGAATTTTGCCAGAGAAATTAATTCCTAAAATAATTGTCACCCTTCAGATTTCCTTCAAATCAACGCTCTCACATCTCAGGGCAAAAAGGCAGCTGTGAATGAACAAGCAGGCAGAGGAACCTGAGCCCTCTGTAATGTACAGTCCTTACGAACCTCTCTAAGAGTTTAAGAGTTCCACATCTTTCTCCAGCCTAACGCCTCTTCACAGGCAAACAACCACCAAACGACAATCACGTAGGTCCACGAGTTACATATACAATTACAGTACAGTGACATCCACATTTCAGTAAAGTCAGCATAATTTACAGTCCAACTAGGCAAGAAGTGCGGAGGAAACCAATTCCTCAATCTTAGGATACAAAACGGTTTGCTGAAAACGTGAAGAGATCTTCTCCTGAGAGAAAATCAGCAAAGTAGAAAAAAAAAAAAAAATGAAATGCACCATCCTTGAATTTCATTTTGATGTGGCCTCTTCATCCTCGAATTCAACTAATGGAGCATGTCTGTCGGCCTGGGCACCTTCTTGGAAATTAACCTTTTTTATCACTCCTGCCTTTGGAGCCCTTATGGTGTGCTGCACGGAAACAGAGCGACAGTGAACCAGCAGAGCACTCTCCTTCCTCATTCTGCCCCCCTCAGCAAATAACAATACTACTCTTTGGTGCAATTAAAACAGAACACACTTAATTACTCCCTATGACACGGGTATATTTATTTTAAACCTCCTTTTAAAAATGTTATCCTAGTCCTTTTTCAAGTTTTATTTTGATGAGTATACCAAGGACAAAAAATGCTCTATTATATTTTGAAGTATGAAAAGCAGAATATTATTTTACTTCAGTAATACTTTTTGTTATTAAATACCAGGCAGAAATAATACAGTTTTAGTCCAAAATGTTAATCATAGAGCAGCCTTGTTCCCTTAGGAGGAATCTGCAGATTTACTAATGATATTTTCGTTTGCTGGCCAGGAGGGGTCTTTATTGAACAGGTATTTGGCAAAATCCAGATGAAATACAAATACAGCTACTAGTGAGAGCAAAGGAGGAGCATGTTTAGGTGCCAATTTCCAAATTGGTCTACTTGCTATTGCATCAGGTTAGTCTTCCACTGAAGTTTTATTTCTTGGTAGTTTTCCACATAAGGTTAGTCTAAAATCAAAATATTTAATATTGGATATTAAATCCTCACATCTAAGCAAGGATTCATTTAAATAATAATTTGCTTTATAAATTTTTACTTTTTATATTTCAATAGCACTGAAAAAGAGAACAACTCAAAATGTCAGTCTGAGGTATCAGCTGGGAAGGCACAAACATTTAGCATCCAACTGCAAATAATTTCAGGTGTAATTTTTTTAGGACACAGTTGTTGTCTTTCATGTATTTTTAGTGTAATTCATAAAAGGACATGATAAGGGAAAGCAAACCTTCTCAACAATATTAATTTTGCTACCACAAACGGAAGTTTAAAATAAACTAATAGCTAAACCAAACCAGTTCAGACTACAAAAGCTGTAGTTCAAGCAATCTGACCCGTGGTCAAGCAACTTTGTCAAGACACAAAGACCAAATGCTAGACCACTGAAGGTCAGTGCTGCTTGGACAATTACAAAGAATCTTTAGTGTACGCCTGGTAAAACTTCATGTAAATCATAATAAAAATATTACGAATAAAAAGAAAAATCCTCGGCATATTTACAAGGCCTCCATTAGCTAAATTTCTGCATGAAGGGACTGCAGACATAATATACGCTTATATCACAGTGAGCAAGAGAGACACCTGGACAGTTTTCTGCTAGAAAAATGAAAGGAGAAGAGAGCAGGGTTGACAAAGCTAACCAAATCAATGTTAAAACATCTGCAGAGTACCATGGATTACATAATCATCATTTGTTAATAACAGCAAATATAATCCTCTCAAATCCGCTCAGACATAACACTTGTTCGACAGCACATGAAGTGATACTGACGTCTACAAGTTACAGTCTGCACCATAATTCAATAATCAGACAGAAGTGATTAAATTCTGACCAGAATTTTATTTTCTCAGTAATTAAATCCTTTTATATGTTACTTACCTCCATTTTCATCGCTATCATAACCATTAGAGGGTCTCCAATCTGAACCTTATCCCCTGCTTTCACAAACACCTACAATTCAAGAGAAAATTGCGAAAAAAACATGCATGTGTCTACCATTAAAAATCATCAGATGAATCTTGGCTAGCACCACCCACTGGATGACTGTAGACAGCCTCGTATCTTTAGTATTGTTGAACTGAGTATCTGAGCTCCCTAGATAATACTCTAGGGAACTCAGAGGCTACCAAAGGAGGGTCAGCAGCAGGTAACAGGATGACCAGGAACCATTTATGTATCAAAGAAGCAGCTCTAGGAGAGTCAGCAGATCTTGTACCTTTTCCGGGCTTAAGAGCTTCTACTTCAAGAAAATGCAAAAATCTCTTCCTAGAGCCAGTCCCGAAAGCTGTTTTTAAAACAGAATCCAGAAAGATTGCCAGAACCACCTAGTTTTTCTACAATAACTGATTTAGAGTATTCATTCAATATGTGAGAGATGTATGTTCAGTCTACTCCACCCTCTGAAAGAGTTCATGCCTTTTTACTGCTGACAGAAGCCTTTACTAAACTCTCCTGGAAATCTCTCTGTCGCTGTACCAAGAAATACACAAGACTTGCTGAGCTAAAGAAAAAGAAACAAAACTAGAAACAGAAGCAGAAAAACACACAGCTTGAAAAAAAAAGGCATTTCTGAATATTTCTTTTTTTTGCCAGTGTATCAAGCATCTCCCTCTTTTGGTTAGACGAAATGGATCAAACAGCCTGTAACACTGCAGGGAACTCCCACTTAGAAAGAAATTAAGATGAAGAAAAAATTATTGAAGCAGTAGGATTAGTTAAATATTCAGAACTTCCAGAGCTCTAGAAAAAGGAGACTGAAAAACTCTTGGGTTGCTGCTGAAAAATCTCTCCTATCAGGAGAAGTTGCGCAGCATTGGCGCTTCTGGCCCTGATTCTTTCCTGGCAGTACAGAAGTAATCACCATTTTTGGAAGAGTGAACCTGGATATACATTGGAGAATTCATTTCCTACCCGTTTTTCTACAATTACCTTTTCAACTGTGCCTGTCATGGGCGCTACAGCACCGCTCTGCACTCCCACTGAGCTCACTGCAGACAAGTACTTGGGTACAGGAAGGCCGATCTGAGCGCTGCCTTCCTGCAGGCATAAAATCAATGGCATTTAAGTTAAGAACATAAAAGTAATATCACTAGTAGACATGCTGCATACCTGGGAAGAACAGACCCAGCTTTAGGTAAATCAGTCAACCCTTTTAGGTGGCAGGCTGCCGGGGCCAGCGCCGCAGAAGGCCTGTCGGCACGCCGACTACTTTGCCAACATCTAAGACCTGAAAAAGCCACTCCTGCAGCTGCTGAGGACCAGTAAGGAAGGACCTACCCCAGTGAAGAGGAGGCTCCACGTGGGCCCTTGTCCCAAACCCACACCCTCCCTACTCATGCAGCAACAGCACGGAAGGTTTTACAAAAAGAGGTAAAGGCTGTTCGTGTAAGGGGTGAGCAGGTCACTGCAACAAGTTAAGAAAGACACTGGCATCTTTGTTGCCTGTTATCAGCAGGAGCATTTCACAATCCAACAGATTCAGCGTTGAGCTTAGCAAAAATTCTCACCGTCACTCAAAATGCCAATTCCTCTCAGACTTGCTACCCAGAGTTTTCCAAAACTCTTTCTCTGTGACGTCCTAAAACTCCTGTGATTTCTCCTAGACCCCCCTCAGACTCCAGTCTGGTACCACAGGAAAACTGAGCTTTGCCATTCCAGCACAAGATATTTTGGCCTCATCACTGGAGCAGCGCAGTTTTCACTGCGTTCTGCCGAAAGCCTTAACAGGCTGAGAGCCAGAGGTTAATTACTGAGGCTAATACATAATAATTTACTCATTACATTTTTATGGAGTTACTTTAAGGCTATGTAATGTTTTTAACTGCAAATAAAAAATTACCAGCCTAATAATGCAAATTAGGATACCTCACCTCCTCCTTCGCAAGTCATTTTTATGGCATTTATTATTCATGCAACGCAGATAATGCCACAGTAACTCATAATTCCGATTTTTTAATATTAGCTGAAGTTACCCTTCCTCAGACCAATACTGATGTCTTTCTTGTCATTTAATATTAAAAACTAAATACACTGAAATAAAAATATCGGTTACAAGCACTTTCCAATAATTACCAGTGCAAAGCAATTGCTACTGTACTATGACAAACTTAGATACTTGACCATCTAAATATTTTGTGTTCCCCCTCCCACACCATTATTTGCAATTCAGACTCACCTATTTGTATTTTATCTTTCTAAAAGTAATTCATTTTCTCACTCACTGGCCATAAGCAACCAACTTCTAATTATAGCTATAAAAAGTATCACACCATTATGGGCCAATGTAAGAATTTGAAATTATGATTCTCTTTCACATTCTCTTGCAATTTTTATTGTTCGTTTACAGGGATAAAACTCTCAAAATTTTATACTCATGATAAAAAAGAAATAAACTTTACCGGAAAGAAGAGATAAATGGTGTTGTCCAAAATGACCAATTTGGACTTACACACTGTTCCATTTACTGAAGACCTCAAGTAAACTGAATCACCTTCCTTGAAGATATCTCCAGAAACCAGGAACGTTTTATCTTGAATCTGAAATTTAAATGCTTTATAAGGACAAAGCCTAACTCTTCATGAACTATAATATGACAAACCAAGAGTTAGTATTGTAGTATACACTCATAACCTGTGATTCTTCACAGTTAATTCTGGGCATTTCTTTTAAAAAAATCTTATAAAATATGTATCCTTTACTTTTCAAACAACTGAATGTATTCTATATCAGATGTTACCAGCTCAGAAAATTAGCCAATATCCTCTGCAAGGCCACTTTTTATCACACACTATGCAATTGCACTCAAATACAAAAGAATATTATTTCTCAGGAGAACAAAACCAAAACCCAGACTATTCTGTTTAGTGATGCTACCGAATCCAATATTGACTTTCTTCAAACTGAAAAATCCATACTATTCACCTCACATCACAAGTTTCCACAACGCTTTCCAAAAGACAAGTAACTTCCTTGCTCTTGGAAGCTTAATAATACAAAACCTGCAATATATTCAAGTAAACCTACAAAGGAGCAGAGCAGTAATGGAGACAGTGTCAGACACCAAAACTTCAAAAGAAGGACCAAATTGCACGGTGATTTATTTGTAAGCAACCCTTCCGACTACATCAGTGGAAACTACACCTTTCCCACAACTTCAGAATATAAAAGCAGTAAGAACATGAACATAAGGGTATCACATTTAACCGATACCTCTAGTTTTACGTCTAAGTGAGCAAAGAATCAGAGACTTGCTAGTCTTTCAGGATGTTACGAGATCAAACTCAGTCTTCCATTTATACAGCTGCATACTGCTTTTTCCACTGAATGAAGACCTTATAAGGACCTTGTAAGGATACTCCCTATCTGATCCCTGAGAAAAAAAAATAACCCTTCGATCGGTCGGTATCCTGAGCAGGGGTGCAGATCAGGAGAGCACCCTGGGCAGTGCTGCTAGTGCTCGCCAGACCCACAGCCCAGGAGCTGACTGACCTCAGGACAGGGTGTGTAGCGCTCCAGGGGCACTGTCCTCCTTATGATCCACTCCTGATTCCATTTCTCCACCCCTTACCTCCAGATTCTCTCCCTTTCCATCTCAACCCCCACTCCACCTTCTTCCCTGGAAGTCTACATTCTTGAACTTCCCCTCCCCAAAAGGCCTCGCTCTGTTTTAATCTTTTGCTGATGTCACTATACAAAATAAGCCTGAAATATAAAAGCTTTCCTGCATTATGTAGGTAATCAATACACTCAGAATAACCTGGGTATTCTTGAGGGATGTGGGTTGTCTCAATATTCAATCAGGAGAAATAAGGGTATAAGGGTTTGAGTTACCCAACGCAGGGTCATACACATGAAAGCACAATCATTTTCTCACTATTTTTCTAGTACACTCATGTCTACAGACTAAGCAGTTTATAAATACAGACTTGTTCTCGTAATTCTCCCTTTCTGAATATTGTAAACAAGAAGCTGAACTGCCCAGAGGCTCCATTCTCAAGCATGCAACCATTTTGGGCGCTAGATGTAAAACCCATCCAACTCTAGGTGACAACACTCAGCAAAATACAACCTCCCCAAGCCACAATTAAGAAACTATCACACATGCACACACACAAAAATAAAAATCTATGTTTAAAGCATCTTGAGTTGTACCCTGTAGGATCTCTGTAGCATAGAAATAGACAATTCTATGTAACATCATTCAATTATTTAAGCAGTAGGCTTACTACTCTCATCATTCCTCATCTCATTTGCTAATCATTTTCCAATTTCCATCTTCCAAAAAAACAAAAGAAGAAAAAAAGTTTTATCTTACAGATAATGCTCTAGAAAGCTTTTATTTATCCCACAGGAGATCCAACTCATGCACAAAATAAGGAAGGAACCCTGTGAAAAAAATGTCTTTTTAAACGCAAATTTATATCTAACTTCCAATCGTTTAGAAAGACAAATTTAAGGAAGGGAAAAATAAAGAGTAAGATCTTTAAATACTGGGAAAATAAATGCTTTTCTTAGATTTATTTTCAGAAGCATTTTAGTAGATCTTCCACGCCTATCAGGCATCTAGAAAATATAATTTCAGGCCAAAATAACAGTCTACAACAATGACTTCAAGCAAAACAAAAACAGACTCTTGTATTGGTAATTGCTAAACAACTTTAGTAACAGTTAATTCCAAGAGAAGTCTACAGGAAACTAATTCATCTTTTATCTAACAAAGTATCTGAAAAAAAATTAGACTTGTACCTGCATCCTGTAAGACCCTTCTTGATTGTAACTTACAGCTACATCCACAACTGTTTAATGAAACAAAATATGTATATGTAAGTTCACTTAATTATAGGATCTACAGAAAAATGACATATAAACAATATTTAGTCTACTTTTTTTGTTTAAAAAAAAAAAAGGCCTACTAATACTAAGAAAAGAACAAGTAGTTCAGGTAGTGCATACTGTAGATTTCATACTGAATTCTAGATAATTTGGTCTTCAAACATGAACACCTGAAGTTATGCTCTGAAATTTGTACTTAGTTACCTGGACAGGGAACAGATTTTAGATGGGAAGAAGTGTCGAATACTGTCACACCAAAGTGAAATTTAAAAAAAAAAAAAAAGAAGGATCAATGGCACTCAGCTCTTCTAAAAATCTCAACCTCATTCATTTAAATGATGAACATTAGTAGTGTCGTTTGATTTTGGGTTATATCTAACAGCGTGGATTAATCATGCAATTCTGTGAATCCCCTGCTTAAACTGCATAAAACTATCTCCGCTCCCTCCACACACTTTTTTATTAACTTACCGTTTTCCCCATCCAGCAGAGACAGTTTTCTTGTATAACATATATTTATTCTTCTACCACTGCTGGATGCAAATGGCGAGAATTTATCTAAAACACAAAACACACAGATAAGTTACTTTCATTCTACCTTGGCAAAACACAATACTCAAAACCTACACCATAAAACCACTGTCCTACTATTACAACCACCATACATCTATACTGCACATAAAAGACTGGGAAACCACTCTACTAAATAGTGACAATCCCTCACTCAAGCTTCAATGCTGAATAAACTGACGCTGTGTAACCCACAAAAAACCACGCCACCACCAACAGCACTTACTAAGGCGGCTGACATCGACTGTTCTGCACAAACACATCCTTGAACAGCACAAGAAATCACAGGCATTCAGCTGCAACACAGCAGATATAGATTAACCTTCAGGTGAAGGTTCCAACTGTAAGAGTAGTCAAAAGTGGCAGCAAATAGCCTAGGGAGACTCAGAGGTTTTCTATTACTAGTTTTTGAGGATGGAACAGATACACAGGTATCAGATACTGCCTGAGGAGCCCATCATCTCTTGAAGCAGGGGAACAGCGTATGAGTCTTTCCAACCCCACTCTCTCACGTTTCCAGGACAGCTAAAGCAGAGGAGGAAGGAAAACTACCAAGACCGTTGGCAGCATATCTTAGATTCGTATGAAGTTTTTGTTAACAGTGATTACACGCCCCACTGGAGCCATTACAGTGTCACAGCTCAAGAACATCCAGCTCCTGGAGTCCTGTTCATTCCATTAAACCATCCCGTCCCTCCCCGTCCTAGCAGAGTCAATTTTATCTCTGAAGACCTTGGGTCAACCGTAGAAGTAATCTGACAGATCCTCGCTGTTTACGCTTCTAAAGAGCAAAGAGTACCCAGTGACGCTGGTGATGGACCCCAAGGTCTCTCAGATAGCAGCCGTCTGAAGCGCTGAGGGAAGGAGCCTGCACGTTACAGCGGTGATATATTCAATAGCTGTCCCTTAGCACAAGTCCTAGCCTGCTCCGCGTCTAAATATCTGACAATGCCAGAATACAGAACCCTGAGCAGGCCCAAAGTATGGCAAAAAGCATGCAAATTAAATAACTGCACATGAGCTCACAGCACTGTCTCATCGAGTCACAAGTAAAATAAAACAAAAGAATGATCTTACCATCTGACTGCTCTCTAAAAGCATCTGTTCGCATTTTCTCTTTCAGTATGAGTCCTAGAGCTGCCTGACACATAACTTCATGTGGGGTTGCCTTTTTGGTTGGAAATAATTCATCATGGTGTTGAGGAATGAAATTGGTGTGCACATTTCCAGCCTCAAACTGTGGGTGTCCTGACAGCCTCAGTAAGAAATCAATATTAGTGCTTAATCCTACAATCTGTAAAAAAAAAGAAGCACTTTGCTAAACTGAAATGAAGTTATATATGAACAGACTGTGTTTCTGCTCATCTCATGCATAAATGATAGATGAATATTTCTTCAGGCAGCTCCATCAAAACACAATGTTTATCGATAAAATGTAACTGGTCTGTTTTATTATGAATTAAACCATTGCTTTTAAAAAATAAAAATAAAAAATAAAAAAATTCAAAAATTCAAAAAATAGGAAAAAAACCCAAAAAAATCAAAAATAGCAACTTTCACAAAAGCACTCTGTTTTCAAAATGCTACGCTTGTCCACTGTGAAGTCAAAGTTTATGAGCAGTAGTAATGGGAGGTAACTCAGGAAAAAACAAGTGTTTCGGAAAATGCTGCTTTTGAGTATTTCAAAGAGCATTCCTCACTGAATACTAAGTAGTTACAACAATTTCAGCTACTCCATAATAGCAAAAAATGGGAACAGTGACTTTTACAAATTTACTACATACTATCCATTTCCTGTACTGCAAAATACCTAAGCAAACAACATGAAAATAGACAAAACTGTTCTGGAGAAACCAGTGAAACTGGTAAACTATACTGTGCTGTCAATATTTATTGACAGAACTACTAAGAATACCCCGAGAACACCCAAAGGGAATTATTTTATCTCTTTCACTGGCAATAATCTTCATTTTTAGCCAAAACAACAGCAGGCCAAACATTTTTAGCATCTCAATCATGTTTATGTTGTTAATTGAAAAGTGTAAATTAATTCTGCACAAATCATATTCAGTCTCACCTCAAGTCAAACGTTCTGAATTCCACTTTCGAAAACAGATACAATATCTGCAGTTTTTATAGGGGGGAAAACGGATCATTTCTTAAAAAGAACCAACAGCATTAAAAATTCTCCATATTTCTTTAACTAAAAAGTCTAAAAAATGTATAGTCTAAAAAAATCTAACTGTAAAATAAATTCTTATGAACCAGAAATTACACACAAACATCATCTGATACAAATTCCAACTACAAATTCTTTTAAGTTTGAGGAAGCTCACAGTACAATTGAAAAAGTCAGTTTAGCTTTACTCTTCTGCAAAGTCCCAGCTGCTTCATTCAACTGCAGACATCACAAATGTACGAAAAATCTGTGTAAAACTAGACTTCGCACTTATCTCCATCCTCTCCACCAATAAAAACAGTTTGCAAATTAGGAAAAAAATACAGCTGCCACAAACATATTAGGAATCTGAAATGGTAGCAGCGATGCAGGATCCCCCTTAGAAACCACTTTTGTTTGACCGTAATATTTTATCTACATTTTGTCAGCCCAAGACATTCCCAAAGTTAGCTCAAGATCCGAACACACACGGGGTTCCTTCTACTTACATTATATTGATGCAAACTGTAGCGCAACTTTCGCAGTGCGGCTTGACGATCCTCAGCCCAGACAACGAGCTTAGCAATCATTGGATCATAATGAACAGAGACCTCGTCACCTAGAACAGATTAAAATTGTGGGACTCAAAGAAAGAAAGGATTGTCTCAACATCACAAAGACTCGTAGTTGGAACTCCAAGGCTTATCGCAATAAACTGCTGCTGTAGGAATTAACCAACTTTCTACAACATTAGTAGCGACTAACACCTGCGAGGCCTTGAGTATGGCTTGGACAGGAGGCCTTTTGCAATGTTCTGCGAGAGAATATGGTGAAGCATCGCAGACACAGCAGTAATTCAGCAAGGAACTGACACACTGTTGCACAGGAGTCTAGATAACAGGGACTGCTCATGAGCACCTACATAATGAAGCAGGAACTCCACTGTCAGTAAGAGAGCAGCCACCTGGCCATCTGTTTTGAACCCGCCTTGTAGTCCCCAGCTCAGAATTTCTGAGCTAAACGTGAAAAGTAGACAGCGAGGAAGACTACAAGCCTTCCTCCAGAAGACCCCGGCCCACAACCACCAGACGGCAGCGCGCCTATGGCAAGAGGAGGACACTTATCACGCCTAGTTCCCGTGAAAAGGTGGAGAAAAGACAGGGACAATGGGAATAAAAGAAGTGCAGACCAGCACCTAGTCGGAATATTCCCCCACCGATGATGTTAGACCTGTGGGATGCTGCTGGACTCTGCGGTGGTATTGGTTTCTTCTGCTTTTGTCTTTCTCTTTCCCCTCTCCCACTCCCTTCCCTCTCTCTCTCTCTGCACTTAAAGAATAAATACTCAAACCAAAACACATTGACTTCGTTTGTGTCTTAAGTTCACCTCTGGGATCGTTGTAGCTCGACCAAGTAGAACTCAGGACGATACAAAATCAAATGCTCTAACACTAAGCCAAATATTTCTGAAAGCTGCTAGTGCACAGCACTGCACATCTTACGGCACTGAACTCTGACACAACCCATGGCCGCATTTCTCTATGTCCTTAAAGAACATTAATCCTTAATGACGAGACCCTGGCTTTTCAACTCGAAGGACAACTTCAGTGCAGACTTTTGTAGAGGTAACATCACTCAAATTCCGTTTTCCTTGTTGCAATCAGAATGCAGGATTGATAAATTGTGATGAGAATATAATCAGCATGATCCAAGGGAGAATAATTTGGATACAGGTAAATAAAGAGGTAAATAAAACATTCAGTGACGACTCAAACTACACGGACAATCCCAAGAATAATTCCTTAGAGACCTGACTTTGTAACAACACCTTGTCAGACAAAATTTTATAGACCAAAGAAGGAAATGATTACAAAGAAAAGCTTTTGATGTTAAATATTTGATTATGCCACTGCCTTCACTTTTACCTTGTCTGACTCCAGTTTCTATCCTGGTGAAACGATCGGGTGGTGGAGTGGATAAGTGCAACAACGGCCCAGCCCCTGGCATAAAGTTATTATTAGGGTCTTCAGCATATATCCTAGCTTCAAATGCATGACCCCGGAGAAGAATCTCTTCCTGCATTAGGGGAATCTTCTCTCCTGCTGCAACCTGAAAGCAATAGGTTTTTTGTTTAATGTGAGATCAATATTCTGGAGTGCCTAATGTATGAAATATTAAATATCTTTCTTTCAACCAGGAACAACTAAAATTCATGCTAAAAAAAGCACAAGGAGAAAAAAAAAGCTGTAGGTCATAAAACGCTAATTCTGAAGCTCCTTTTCTCTGGGAGTCACAAATCAAAGGATTTTAAATTATTATTGTGTAAATTGACCTACTAATATTTCACATAGCTAAAACATAATGGAAAAAGAGCCTATTTTTTTCTCCATGAGATTTTGTTGGAGAACAAATTGCTTCAAAAGCAGATAATGAAAAGGATTACTGTCAGCCAGTGCTACTGGCATACACTGTTGATTCTTCTGTACATTCTGTGGGACCTCAACATTTCAGGGAATGTTTTTCTAAGGGGATTTGTAACAACTTAAGAACCTTTAATGGAGAAGGAAAAAACATTTTATTACTCAAAGGAACTCACGTTACAATTACAGGAATAATAAACACCAGCAACACACCAGTTTGAGACTGAAAAACACAGGGCTTTTTGGGACTAAATAACAAGAAACCTGCTGCAGCTAATCACAGAGGAGACCCTTAACCAGGAAGCTACACAATTTCCATCTACATGGGAAAACACCAGTTTCGATTACAAATTTTGTAGCAACATTTCATTTGAAGTGTCAGGGGTTTTCCATACTCCGCATTCTGCCACCAAACTATGGATTCTGGCAGAGACACCCGAACGCAACTTAGTCTTCAAAGAAAGGGCAGTACCACACAGATTTAACAAAAATAGTCTCTCCAAGACCTGATAGACATTTTTTATCTATTGACTCATTAAGCCACATGCCAAGGCCACTGAACCTTTCCCCCTTATCTTCCAGTATTGTCTGAACACCAAGGTCACGGGTTTGATCCCTGTTCGGTCCCCGTGAGTTGCCTGATCTAGTTGAGAGGCGTCCCTGCCCATGACAGGGAGGTTGGATTAAATGATCTCCAAGGTCCCTTCCAGCCTAGGCCATTCTGTGATTCTATGATCCCTGTTCCAACTCAAGACTCAATTTTTGTTTGAGACCAGGAAGCCAAAAGTTCCCCGTCTTTGCATCAGCATTTGCCATTTCCGTTTTCTTTCTGTTTACACTGAACACTCCCCTACCCGTTCTACTTAAGCTCAGTGCGTGCTGCTGTCCTCACTTTTGGATTTATCTAACCAGAATTGTTTTTCATTGCTAGTTCCATAAGGTCCAAAACTTCCTGTTATCATTCGAATGTGTGAGTAATCTCTCTGCAAATTGGGTGTGTGAGGAAGTAGGCTGTTTTCCAGTCCACACAACTATACATTTATTTTAGAATGTGACTATACTGGTATAACATCAAACACATGTTTTTGTGAAGAGTTTTTCTTCTATGCCTGATCCAAGAATGATTTTTAGGCCAGGGATACATTTGAAATAGGTTTTTTTAAAAAAAATCAGTATGGCAAGGGAAAGATCAAGACCCTACTCCTTCTGCTTTTCACATTCTCTAGAACCTCTCTAAACAGACTTTTAAAAAATGCTTTTTCCTTACACAACTGGAAGACAACTCTGCTGGAATTCAGAGCATCTATACAATGCTCTACAATCAAATGCAGTAACATGAGATGTTCCTCTGGAGCCAAGGAAACTCTACCCTATTAGTTGAACAGGAGATGAGGATCTGAAAATCTGCCTCATCTCTCCCAGGCAGTATCAATGGGCAAGAGGAACTCCACGTGTGAAATCCAGTAACACTCACCCTAAGCTGCCACTCCACCAAGTCTGTTCCCGTGATCATCTCCGTAACTGGGTGCTCTACTTGCAGCCTGGTATTCATCTCCATGAAGTAAAAATTATGTTGGGAGTCCATAATAAATTCCACTGTTCCTGAAGCATTTAATAAAAGGGCACTTCACCAAAACAAGACTTTTTGTGAATGGAGTCCTAAGACACTTAATTCATTTCTGCCAGGACAAGGCTATTATTGCTAAATCAGATACACTGTGTTTCATTAAATTCTACACAAATTATATTAAAGGGTCAGACAACAGAGGTCAGCAAAACAGGAGGGTTGTTCCCCTGCACATTTACATACACTGCACTGTTTAGTAGTCATTTTCTTTCAAAGCGCTGCACTTCAGCAGAACTTTAAAAAGTGCATCCGGACTCATTAAAATACTATGAATATGCATAGGGTATTTAAATATTTTTTAAAAATAAGTATCCAAATAAAGCAGCAATACTTTTAGTAGGCTATTTTTTCAGCTGGGAAGTTGTGTGGACTTTACAGTCAGTGAGTTATGTTTTTCTTTTAAAGGCTTTACTGTTTGAGTATAAAGTATTACTCTCCAAAACTTGAAAGACAAATTATTTTCCCTTCCTCTGCTCAAACTTACTTAGGAACATTCATAATGCTCACTTTCCAACAACAATCTAGTTAATCTAGCTGATTATCTGCTCTGAATTTTTTTCTTTCTATTCTTCAGCTGCTATTGGTCTTGAGCTCAGGCCAGGTATGCTAATTTAAATTTGTAATTACATCGGAATCAACTACGTCATTACTTGCTTAAACCTCAACAAAATTGAGGGATGTGTGTCATTCCCTAAAACAATCAGATGCCATCTGCCATGAGACTTAAAGTCTTATTAAGTTAAAAGCACACCTCTAGAGCAGCCATGTCTCCACAGACTTACCTGCTCCCACATAATTCACTGCTTTAGCTGCTTTGACAGCAGCTTCTCCAAGTCTCCTCCGAACTTCAGGATTAATTCCGGGCTGTATATAATAATAATACAAAAGATTATAAATTGTCGTGAACTTTGGTGATATGAAACCTACTATGCATGAATATTTTGCGGTATTTAGCATCTGTAGTGAAATCCTTATCAAGGTTATACTTGAAATCTACGTAATTTCTCCCTGAGAATCATTTGCCTTAAGAAAGCAATTTCTTCCATTAGAACATTTTCCACAGCAAAATTAAATCAGGTTCTGAGAATTACAAATAAATTACTATCCGTTAAATAAATTTGATAGGGGTTGGCAATTACTTTAAAAATATGTCAGCTCGTAGTTCTAAGAACTTTCTGCTCACCCCTGGTGCCTCTTCAATGATCTTCTGATGTCTCCTTTGCACACTGCAGTCTCTTTCAAACAAATACACCGCATTGCCATGCTGGTCACCGAATACTTGGACTTCGACGTGCCTGTTCCATAATAATAAACCTTTCAACACATTTCAATAAAACCGCAATCCCGTGACTGACTTCATCCAAACAAACTTTCAACTTGTACACAGTCCTGTGCACTGCAACAGGGCTTATTACAGGTTTAAGTGTCTTGCCCTTTAATAGCCAAAAATGTAGAAATGAGGCTGCTACTGCACAGGATTTCAACTGGTTTAGACTTCCTCAATCCACTAAATGAAATGAGATTCTAAATCCCAGGTACTGCAGCCAAACTTCATAGGTCGTAGGATAAACGAGATAAATAGCTATAGGCCGCCACCTCTTCTTTAATTATTTTTTTTATAATGAAAGTAAAACCAGCAGCTCTGGCTCATAAATAAAATTATTTATTTCATCACACCATTTCAGAGGATAACTATTTGGTGGCTGAACTTCATTCTATGTATAAAACAAAAATCTGTCATGACTGTCATAATCCTCAGATGCTGGTAAAAAAAAAACTGTCCAGGAATTTACTGAGATTTTTCTCATGCCCCCCGCCCCCAGCAGAAGCAGGCCCTCAGTTTCTTTCCGATAATAACTCCTTTCTTTATAGCTTTAAAAAAAGCACATGTAAAAGTACAAAAATATCAAATTAACCTCTGTGAGAAGTTCTTTATTAAAAAAAAATCAGCTTAGTTTCACAGGGCAGGCATGTACTAAAGACCATCTCTTCCATTTTAAATATCAAAATAGAGAAAAAATAACTGACTAGTTTAGGACACCTGAGGGCAGCAGAAACACCCTGACAGCTTGACTCAGGTCTATAGTTTAAGTACTATGAAGTGACTTTCCTAGACAGAAATTGAGTTAAGAAAGATCACTCAAGAAAGAATATCACTGTCACTGAATGCCACTGCTGTGTCTCCCTAACAGCAGTATTTTAATTTTACCATTCAAAACAAAGACATCACAAGAAATCCAATACATAATAAACAGTTTTGAATAAATTAACACCGGCCACAGTGCAAATAAAACATAAAAGACCAATTTGTACCCTACTACTAAAAAACGTCATGTTTACTTAAGCATAGAATTAACATTACAGTGTTTATATTAAAACGTGTACTTCTTACCTTGGATTATCTACAAATTTCTCAATCAGCATTGCATCATCATTGAAAGACTTCTTTGCTTCTCTCCTAGCTGATTCTACTTGGTCCAGAAAATCCTTTTCTGAGTGAGCAATTCTCATGCCCTACAATAGAGGAAAAAACGTTTATCTAAACATCTAAAAACACAGTACACAATAAAAATCCTCATTACACACAAACAGCAAGAAAGGAGTTTAATAATAACACTTCTCCCTTCTTTCTTAAATTCTAGCAGAATTGTGTATCAGCTTCCAGTAAGATAATCTATGTGTCATAAGAAGTGTTAAAAAAAAAAGGTATTATCATTCCACTGACACAGATGAATGTAAAATTCAATTTTATTCTTAAATATCATAGAAATTTTCCAAGGTTGGCAGAGAAAAACTGATTTCATTACAAACCAAATACAGCTATTCCAGAAATAATATGAATTCCCTATCATGTCATTTTAATAGAAATTTATTTCAGAGTAAAAATCAGATTTAGACAGGGAATTTACCGTACATTAAAAAGTGTTAAGACACTACATACTTAAACGGTATTTTTAATCATTCCTTACACAGCATTCAAAAGTATTTAAAAAAAAAGTCATAGAAGCCATCACGAAGTTACAATTTTACACAAAACAAATCTATAGGACAACTCTTATGTGAATTACCTGAGATCCATTGAAATAAACAAAACTCTTCCAATTTATACCAGCTACTCACCTTGTGCCTGACTGCACAACAAAAGGAAATGAGATTTCATAGTGCTAGACTGGATGTTACTAATAAATTTGAACAAAAAGTATTTTTCCAATTGCTTTGTTTTCAGATTTCTTTTAGAATATTTCGTTACAGACACCAAGACATGACAACCACATGATGAACAGACCAGTTCCTTTACCTTTCCTCCACCTCCACGCACAGCTTTAATCATTACTGGATATCCTATTCTCTTGGCATGTTCCTTTAGACATTCATCTGATTGATCTTCTCCATGATAACCTTCAACAACAGGAACGCCAGCGGCAGACATTATAGCTTTGGAAGTGCTTTGACAGAACAGTTTTATGTTTAGAATGATAATAATATTTTTTTTTTCTTATTTTAAGCTCCAAATCTGTGTATGATCCCAAAGTTAATTCTCCTCACAAAAGTAGTTCCACTGACCTCAGCAGGACTACTTACGTAAGTGGATTAAATACAACTAGACTGTTAATTAATCAAATGCTTCAAAAAGAATTGTTTTTTCCCCAAACTCTCCACATAAAAGCAGCAGTCAGCTTCAGGCTTGCTGATCTTTCCTGTCCACATTACAAGAGGCTAAAACCTAATGTTTTCAAAATACAACACTGTACCCAACCAAAACTATATTTAAAGTTGTTACAAAGGCAAAACTCTTTTCATGACACAAGCTGGATTCACACCACCCATAAAACACTCAAGTATAACAACTCTTAACTTCAAATATGCATGCAAAACTAGCTAAATTACAGAGGTAATTTACTCTCACACTAGGAAGTGATAAAAAATTAATTCTCTGAAATTAACATTACACAGTTCATGTGTCAGTAATAACGTTATTTCCATATTCTTGATTTATACTTCATACCCTGGAAACATCCCTTTGATCTAAGTAACTAAGAATAAGATCCTCTGTGATGAACAAAACTCATCATCCCATTTTACACAAGCCACAATAACCCCTGATGATACGGCACTTCTTTTCCACTATTCTTTTGACCAACACAAAAGACATCGAGTCTGACTGCTGAACTCTGACCTGTGTAACACTGTGATTTTCCAGTTCTGGAAAACCAGAATCAGTTAGGTATTTAACTGCAAAAATCCTAATAACTCAACAATCTTGATTGTTCCTGCGTCTATAGAAATCCCACAATTCTAAATCTTATTTCTTTAAAGAAAGCCATAAAAAGACAATGAAAACTGACAAAATAAAACAATTTGGGAACAACTGGCCATTTGTTAGCCAAATGAGCTTTGCCGAACTGTAAACTGCATAACCAAGTAACAAAGCGGAAATAGATACCTCTTAATACCCATATCTCTGATAGCAGATGAAGGCGGACCTATGAAGATGATTCCCTCTTGCTTGCACAACTCTGCAAACTCTGTGTTTTCTGAGAGGAAACCATAACCTGGATGAATAGCCTAAAATAGAATAACGTTACCAGCCTATTTTTGTATCAGTTTAGCTTAGAAAACCCTGCAACTTCAGTAGAGGGCTAAGGAAACACAAGATGAAATGCCATGGATAAAAATGAAGTACTAAAGAGCACGGAAGTAATGGAAGATTTACCTGGGCTGCTGAGACCTTGGCCACCTGCATTATTTTCTCCATGGCCAAGTAACTCTGCTGTGAGGGTGCTGGACCAATGCAGTACGCCTCATCTGCCTGTTACAGGAAAAATACGTATAATGCAAACTGCAGAGAACAAAAAGCAAATTTAACTGAATTTCTGAGCTAATTATATTGTTTATGACACTGCTAGCATGCAGCAGTTTAAATCTCTGCCTCTTCTTCACAGAGAGGCTCAACGAGGTGAAACATACTCTGACTTTCTTGCCAAAATCAGAGTCTGTTCTCTAACCTCCAGTGGCTACTCTGGAGTTGGAACGCCAAACTTTAGGGCACTTTCCAGAAAACCGTCAGGTGCTGACACATAGGCTAGGCAAGCTTTTCACTCATTCAAGGAAAACTTGGAAGCAGCTCTACAGAGGTGAAAATTAACTGCATTAACACCTTTACTTTCACATTGAACTTGTTAATAAGAAATACTCTTGTGAATGAATGTTAACCACAACATTAACGAATATACTTCACCATTGCTACATGCATGGAATTTCTGTCTGCTTCACTATAAACTGCTACGGACTTCACACCCATTTTCTTTGCTGTTCGCATCACTCTGCATGCAATTTCTCCTCGGTTTGCAATCAGAACCTTTCCTATGGTGTGAACTCCTGTTTAAAAGGATGAAGCACAGTAAGCAGTTATAAGAATAACTATATCCTTAAAAACATTCCTGGAAATAAAGCATTTTTAAAATGTATATTTCTTTTTCATCATTTATAGAGTTTATGCATTTTTTCCAATGCTGAAAAAACGGACGCTTCACCCAAAAGCATTTCCATGTTAGTCCTGGACTGTTTTCCTTAGAGTCCTTATGCAGAAGTATGTTTAATTTAAGTATTTTTCTCTTTTTAGAATCCAATAAATACATGATAACCCTAAACCAGCACTTAAACATAAAAACTAATGCTTATACTTCTGCTGTGTACTTTCTGGACCAATCAGGAAACAATTAACACCTCTCATCCTCCCCAACACAAGCGATTCACATGTCTTTGAAGAGCGCTATTCCCCACTGACACACAGTCACTAAGAAATAACAAGACAGTAAAGTTTTTTTATTGGTACTGTTTGTTTTGGCTTTGTTTTTAAAAATAGTGACATACAAGCTTCTACTAAGCCTAAAGACAGCAGTTAAAACATGATAGAAATATAAGGCCAGCACAGCCAGAGACCTCACAGGCAGAACATATATTTTAAAACAACCTAACAACAGGATCAGTTTAAATTATTTTGCTAAATATTTATTTTCCTTCCTATGTTACTTAAATACCACTTAAAAAACAATTCTCACAGACTTCACGTTTGTATTGAAAAGGACTCAGAGGAAAACATCAAAAAAATAAATAGTTTTCATTGAGTATACATAAGTATAACAGATAAAATTATTCAGAACATTGTTTACACATAAAAGATGTTTCCTGTAAGACTCCTGTTTTCAAAAACTAGCCAAACACTGAACATTTATTTTAAAAACCCTACAGTTTTTCAGCAACAAGAGGTCTAAAGCTAATTGTAAAACCACTCAAATCACACGAGTAATTAAACCTAGTAGTAAAAGAAGTTAAACTTCATACCTATCGTTGAGGCCCATTTCACAAATCTCTGAATTTGGTTCCATTGCCTGTACAATTATAAACACACAGAAGTATTACAAAAGTAGCTCAGCTGCCTCTTCTTTTATTTTTGGGTGAGAGGAGAGCACTAACCCAGCTCTGTAGCTTTTGATACAACTACTGACACGGAACATTCGAGTACAACGAGGAAGGTTGCCCAAACTATTTACACAGAACATATTCAAGTACAGGGAAGGGTGTCCAAACTTCACCAGATCTCTCCTGAACTGTTTTAATTTAGACACAAAAGAAATTATCCCCTTGCTTTGCCAGCAGCATGCAAATTGAATAGTCAAAAGTTTTTAAACAAACACACT